TTTGGTCATTTAGTGTTCAGGAGTTGATATTACTCTCTCAAGCATTTGTGCCAGCACTTCCTTCACACATGGCCCAAAACACACTGGGATTAATCAAAGGGATCCCAAGACTAAGAGAGAGACGTCCAGCCAGGGTAAATCATAAGAGCCCAGCGAGGCTGCTGTGGGAGAAGGTTTTCTGGAATGAACATGTCTTCTCTAAGAGAGCTTGGATGAAGGGGGTGGTGTTGAAATGAAAACAACAGACCCAGAATGTGTGGGTCAAAGGCAATAGGTAAAATATATAGAGAGATTAAAATATTTTTCTTTGTTGCTCTATGTTTGATATCCAGACCAAAAAAGCCAAAACAAACCAATCGAACAAAAAACCACAACAAAAAATACTAGTGCAAATAATTCCATATCTGAATTTTCTCATATTGCTGAGACAATGATACACTCCAAAATATGTTTTAGTTAAAAGCATTATGGCACTGGGGTTAACAACATGTTTCCCTAAAGGAAACTGGGTGGGTTGTTGTCCAGAGACTTCACTGTTGAGTGTAAGCACGGTATAAAACATAGGGAAGTGCTGACAAAGAAACCAGACTGGCACTTGGGAGATTCAAATTTTATTCTCCAGTTTCTCCGAGCAAATAACTTCCCAGCAACTCTCTATCTCTTTCCCAGCACGGCTGGAAGTTCTTGGGGTTGTGGACTTCCTCAGTTGTTACCCAATGCCCAACATAATGAGATCCCAAGTTTTTATCAGGATCTTTGGCTAACCATGGCACACAAAGGACAAATGGTATTTCTAAGGAAGGTGCTCTGCTGGGAGATCGAATACAAGAAAATTAAATGAGAACTCGAAGGTATCCCAAGTGCCACCAGTTCAGAGCCCAAAGGAAAAAAAAAAACTAATAAGATCAGGCCAAGCCTTTTTCCTTTAACTGCAAAGAAAAGCAATCTTTATGAAGTGATAAAGCCATTCAAGAATGGCTGCGGTTGTTTCTTTTAAATGAACCAGAGAGAACAGATGGTCTCCTCTCATACTGTCACAGAGGTCAAAATTAGCCACCCCTAAGACTAGCAGGTTCTTGAAATGCTCAAGTGCTTGTGTCTGGTCGTTATGACTAATCCACTCTCCAGAACAAGAAAGGTCAAATGAAGAACACCCCTCCAAATACTGCAACTACTCCTAGCCATGGATGATGTGTAATGCACTCAGACATGGTGTCAACAGCTGCTCCTAAAACCCAATGAGTCAGCCTTTCAAAAGAGCTTGTCAGCTCTCACTGTTAGAGCTTTCATACAGATTATATTTACTCCCCAGTGTTTAAAAATATCCTTCTTAAACATTGAAAATATAAAATGTTTTCCTTACAGATTTTGTCCCCTTTGCCCAGGCAGCTGCCCAAGAATGTCTCATTTATTTATCTGGGAGCAAAACTTCCTAGCCTTTCTTTCACTTTCCTCTTCACATGCTCATACCTAAACCAAAGGCAGGCCTTTGTGTCTGAAGTCATGTACAAATGAGGAATTTCTGGTCCCTTTCACAGCTTATGCCTGTAAACCACAGTCAGCCTTCCAGAGTGCTGCGAGGTCAAGTGTTTTGCCCAACAGGTAGAGTCCAGAGACATTGGGTGACTCTGATTTGGTCCTACAACAGCCACGTGGGTACAAATCCCCTATCCATCCCCTACTCTAATCACCAATCTCCCTTAGATGCTGTCATTTACATAAAAAGGCCTATTGGAAATGACAGGTGAAGGAAGCAGCCCAGGCATGAAATGCACTCTGAAGTATATTAATAGAAGGTTGCCAGACAAAACGGCACAAGGCATTTGATCGCATCATCTTAGGCTTGTTGTTCATGCTCCTTTGCATCTGGCTGCGTGATTTCTGCCAGATTCTCGGCTGGAGGAGCAGGCTAGGATTTGCCTGCTTTCCCTAACCCGTGCCGGGCTCAGCTGCAATCATGCAGAGCACTGAAATAAATCCCTTTGAGTTGGGATTCATTCCGAACATGTAAAACCCAAATGACTGCTTCTCCAAAGTGAATCCCATTTCACAGCAAGTAGGTTATTAGTGTGGAACTCCATACAAGTAGCCTGCATTCAAAAGCCCTCTGCATTATTAATAGAAGATGAGCTTTTGACATCAAAGGAGAACCATTATGTATGCTAAACGGTGGCAAAAATTGTACCCGCACTTCAAACCTTTTCAGTTCTTTGTCCCTTGTAAATCAATCAAGGTTGACAGATGCTTTAAGGAGAGTAATCTTTTCAATGATACTGTCAATGGATAGCATAATGGAACATTGTCTCTGTGCTGTGTGAAGACATGGAGCTAGTCAATTATGGACAACACTTCATGCAGCCGCCAGTTTTCACTTGAAGTGCTGCTGTTGAAGTATTATAATCCCAACAAATGGCCGCAGCAGCATACAATGTAAATGAGACCTCCTGAAGCTTTGGAAAATTAATTAGTAACAACAGTGGTCCATTCCCACACTTTCAAACACCAGCCTGGTAACGTTAACGATGCACTTCCCCCCCTTCCTTTGAGCAGGCAATAGGGCATATTTACATACACTATTTTAAGTGTATTTCCCCCCTCCCCTCAATTTAAATGCAGGAAGTTCTGGATTCCTTTCCTCTCTTCACCTGATATTTCCAACTGGTTACATAGCCCACATGGTTAGAGCTGAAAAGAAGAAAACAGACTTTCCTACTTGGAGACAGCAGGAGTAGTCACTTCACACATCAGACAGCTGGTGGCTGTCTCATTTTCCAACACTTATATCCACTCAGCTGCCCTGGGAAGAATGGCCTGGATGGATGGTGGGGAAAAGCTTCCAGCCTGAAGAGACCAGTAGAATGTTAGCTGGAAGACAATGGTACTGAGTGCCAGTAGCACTGAGGTTGAACTCTGGTGCACTAGATGCCAACATATATATCTGACTGCCAGCTCCTATAGGAAGGAGATTGAGAGTCAAAGGGGAGAGACTGTGTTGTTTATTTAGCTATTGGCTTCCATTTCCCTACATCATTTTCTCAAAGATTTTCCTTTTGTCAACCAAGGCTTGTGCTAAGAGGAACACTTAATCTCCCACAGTAGCAGAGAGAAATCCCCACACTTGAGCACAAAATTTCTCAACTCCTATCAATTGCAGGTTTTCATTGCTATGATCTGTGAATGCCCCTTATGTGTTTTTGAAACAATCAGATGCAGATAAGAAACTCAATCACTGAGGTCTCCTCGGATAAGAAGAGGCTGATTCTTGGACCCCACTCCCTCTTCCCCAGATTCCAAACAGCTGGGAACAGATACAGCTGCTGTCCCTCCTCATTTAGATTTGGTCTTCTGCACTCTGGACAGTTCTCTGAGAAACCCTTGCAATGGTTGACTGCAGAAAGCTTCACAATGCAGCAGTCCCCCGAACCCCCCAAACACACAGACAATTGTTAAACAAATCTGACAATGGTTAAACAATACTTTGAGACAATAGAGGAAGCAACAGAAGCCACACACCCTCCCATGCATTACCCAAACAGCTGCCATTGCTGATGCCAAGGAGAAAAGGGAAATGTTTGGTCTACTAGAGGCCCCTCTTCCTCAGAGCAGAAAAGACAGAGGAAAGGATATCTTCTGCCTAGCCTTAGAGAAGTCAGAGACTGATCCAATCTTTTTCCCACTCTTGTGTAAAACAAACTACCATAGAATAGAGAAATGAATGGGAACTGGGAGGCTTAAGGTCCTTCCTTCATTTTGCTGGATCACATCTGTCAAGAAAACAATGGCAGAGCTCTATTTCTACATTCAGTTCCCATCCAAACTCCACAGTGCAAGATGCACAAACAGAAGACAAAAAAATTATCTCCGGCATATTGATGAAAAAGCTTTAGGTCAGCATTCTTGCCATGATGAAAACAGCCTTTTCTTTCAATTACATTTTGTTTTGCTTGTGAACTTGTCTGCTTTTGTATCTGTTTTAAATTTTGTTTCTCTAGAGCTAAACACTTGGAATGGTGCAGGGTCCCTATCCTCCCTCACCACCACCTCTGCCACAAGCTGGCTGGGGTGACACTGCAGCAGAGGCAGGCACCATGACCCAGCTGTCCCAGACCCTGACAGGAGACACAGATTCACTTCTCAGTACCAGGAGGATGAAGTATAAGCAAAAAGGGGATGTCAGAGACTGAGCAAGGGAGAGCTGTGTAGAAGCAGCTTTGCTGGGAGCTCCACAGATGTGCCAGGAGAAGCAATCAAGCTGTTGCAGGAAGTCTTGGGCATTGTGTGTTCTACTTGCACAGCTTTCAGGGAAAACTGGTGCACAAAAGAGCCCATGGAAAGGGCCAGGATGTCATACTTGGACACACTGGACCAGTCTTAAATCTGATTTCTGCACAGCAACTGCAACGACTGTGTGCTAAGGAGCTCTTCTACTCTATTTGAAATATGTTCAAAAAACATATGCCCCTTTTCAACTCATTTAGAAGAGCTCACCATTTATTTCCAGAACAGTTTTCCATGGTAATATCAAAGAATTTCAAAAGCATACATTGCCTTTGCCACAACTTTTAACAGAAAATTACCTAACCTTTTCTTTCAAGCTAGTTGGTTTTTTTTCTATTTGTTATTAAATTATTATTTAGAGTATAAAAGCAAAATAACTGACAAAATAATAAAAAGCAATGGAACAATAAAGCCGATCCAGTTGATCAAAAGACAAAAGATCTGACAAAAACAAAGTGCTCCAATAATTCAGAACCTAAGGTTATAATATGGAAGATGAAGAACCTGCTTTTGTTCATGTGTCTGATGACATACATAAGATCACAACTAACCACTTCTGGATAAGGTAAGTATAAGAGGAAAAGTGGTAGCTAATAATAACAACATTTTTAAGTAGCCTTCTGTTAATACTGAAATAAAATTTACTCAGTCCACTAAAGCCAGAAATTTATCATGAAAAGAAAAAACCTTAAGAAAATATAGTTAAGAAGAACATTGCTTACATAAGAGAAGTCTTCAGCATTCTGACAGAGTAGCTTGGGAAAAACAGCCTGTCGCTGAAATCTTTCCTCATCTTCAAAGATGTTCCCATACATGAAGCCATTCATCATGGTGGAGTGGGCATGGATGTCAATATAGAACTCCAGGTTAATCTTCTGTTGAGGGAAACAAAACAACAACAAAACATTCAGCATGAGATAAATCATAACTGTGTTATGAAGCCTCCCATAAATCCAATACAGCCATTCTTGAATCTAACCATGGTGCCAGAGCCATGCTAAAGACACTGCTGTGATGCATCCAACCATTCATGCCTCTCTGTGGGGGCATGTGAAACACAACACAGGACCATGACAGACATTTCTTCACTGTTCTTGAAAATGTTGGAACATTTTGCACATGACACTGTGCAAAACAGAGCCAAAGCATCATCCTCCACTGTAATACAGGGCTTACTGCCACTGATAAAAATATGCACCTTCCAGTTCTACAGCACGATTATTTGGGCACAGCTTTGCCCTCTCTGCACAGCTCTACATTGCAATATGCAGATGTACACTTCTGCCAGGTAAAACAGGCTCAAAATTGTGTAAAAAAGACTTCAGTATTTCCTGTGCAATTTATTTTTGCTTATAAGGAGAAATAACTGCAAATGTTTTGTCTTACTCTGCTTTGTAGTAGTAATTCAACAGAGCAACTCCCAAAAGCAAGTGCCTTGAATGCCTCTCTGCTTGCAGCTCTCTCTGTGATTCTGCATCAGCTTTCACTTTAAAAGAAAACAGTAGGACCCCCTGGCACAGAAGTGCCTGCTCTGCCCATACCCTTCCCATGTCCTCAGTGGGAAGCAGTGAATGTTCACCTTGATCACTGTGATGTGATCAAGTGCCATTGGCAGCAGAGATAGCAATGCCCAGCACTAAAGAGCAATACCAGAGCAGACGCCACTGGATTACCCAGTTTCCCCAAACTCTTAAAACTTCTGGACCTGAAGAAATAATGTGATGTGACAGTGACAAACTCACTCCTGCCACCTGACCACCACGGGGCCAGTAAGAGCCATCCTGGTGACCAGAGTTCAGATCCTTCTGCCTCAAGAGAGGGATGGAGAAGAGTTCTTTTGGCAGGACAGGCGTTATGATGCTTATCCCTGTACTCCCTGGCAGCAAACAGAGACCCTGGCCAATGGAATACAACATGTAGCTCTGCAGACACAAGTCTTCCCTGCACACACACAACTTGCTCAGGCTACTGGAGAATACTGAGCTACAAGGACAGTCCCATGACACAGGAAGGCAGTTTGTATTGTGCAGTTCATGTGACAGCAGTGTCAGCTCTTCTAAAGAGTCTCTGATGGGGGGAGGATATAATTTGGTATGTGAAACTAATATAATACAGATTTACTTTCCCTTGGCAGAAAACCAATGTACAATACACAGCGACTGTTTAGCTTAATTAAACAGCCTAGAGAGAGTAATAATGTATCTTATTAAGCCTCTGCTATGTTAAAATGTTAGCTAATGCAATATCAATATCTGACCATGCTTCATAGGAAAAGGAACATTTGATTGTGTTTGACTCTAATACAATAAATTGTTTGCTCCTGCCAAAACTTTATGCTGTGCTATAGAGGACCAACACTGCAATAAAGCACACATCTGCTATTTGGAGATACAGCACTGAGGAGAAAGATTAGCATTGACAGGATGAAACACCACATAGAATTTTCTTCCTCTCCAAGCATACAGAAATTAAAACCAAGATTAAGTAATACTATTTTCATGAGATAATTTCCCCATCACAAACAGAATTTGATGAGATCAGATGCACACTGGCATATCACCATAAAACAGAACATGCTGTGGAGTCTCAAAACAGTGATTTGATGAAGTGAGCAGATAATCTAGTTAAACTGGGTATTTGTAAAGCATGAATGTCCTTCACACAGAAGTCAGTGACCTAAGTCATACTTATTTTAGAACAAGGCAGAATTCTTTATAGGAACATAGTTACTAACATAAAGTAATCAAGAAGCACAGTGAGATATTTAACAATAGACTAGAACAATTTGTGTCTTAGGACAAATAAAAGTGCTGGTATAAACTGTATGATTTTTGGTGTGTCATAGTATACTTAGTTCATCTATAGTTTTCAAGCTGTTTCCAAAAGAAGGTGAGATGCAAACAGAGATGCAGAGGCATAGATAACTAAAATAACTTTCCATAGGCTATCCAGCAAGAAATTCACCTGCAGAACATGGGTGACCTGAGCCTCAGTTTAGTATTCAATTATCAGGTTATCCAGTCTAACACAGTATCACTGGAGTATTATTTTCTAAACTCTTCCAGGACTCTCACTCAAAAAAAAAATTGTTGATAAAAGTGTCACAGAGAATATTAGAAAGTCACCTGGTGTGGTGAAATTTCTTTGAAGATCTTTTTTGTTCATCAAAACCATTTTCAAATAATCTGGTTACAATGGTTGTTTGTGAGGGAACAGCGTCCTTCACACATATCACCCTCACCTAAAGATTAAGCTTCCAGATCTCTTATTTGGAAACCATGACATTCCACAGATAGCTCATCACCCAGACAGGTGTTTAAAAACATTTATCCAGTCATTAATTTCTAAGTATTTAAAAAGTAATTTCTTAAGTTGGTTCACAATAACTATTTAACTGTTTTTTCTGGTCTTTGTTCCTTACCCTCCTACAGAACCTATAAACCACGCTATTTCACATCTTCCTGCACACCAAATATAGTCCAAATTTGCAATTGTCCATCCTATTCAGAAAGTTTTTAAACATTGCTAGAGTAATTTCGAGTTAGGTGTAACACTTCCAGACACTGCTGTGTGCGAGCAGAACAGTATTTCAGTGTTTCACATTTCTTCTCCTCACATTCATTACTTTATCAAAGGAAAACATGTTGAGCATTCTCCATTACAAAACAAAATAATCCAGTGCATTGTTAATATAACACGTGAGTTCCTAATGGAAAAAAAACCCAAACCTTTATTCTCAGACACAAAGATATTGTGGCCTTAAAATGGACAATAACAGTCCAGTCACTGGCACATTAGAAGTTTGCTACCTTGTGCCTCAACTAGTAGACTAAGTAGCAGACAATTTGTTTGCACACAAGCTTCTCAAGAATTATGATATGTTCCTGAACAATAATGGTATTTCTTCTCTCTCTTTACAGTCATACATATTCATAGGCACTTTACGTGTAGAAACTGTTTCACCCACTGCCATTCTGCAAATTTAAGCTGGGAAATAAATTTCGTATTTCAGTTGAGGTTCTCTGGAAGATTTTGACATAATTACTGATCTCCTGCAATTTAGGTAGGATCACAGAATTAACATTTTATTAAATATCTAATGTCACCTACTGATGGCAATTTCAGGACAGTCAGCAGAGGGATGACCTTCTGAAATTGTTTGTCTTTGAGATAGGGAGAACTTTAATGGGAGAATGAAGTAAATAAATGTACTTGTGCATTTGCAGGAGCACATACAAACACACTTAACCCAGTGCTATCTGCTGTTATACTCCAGGGGTATCTGTCAGTATGTGCACAGCAGAACCCACCCCCATTAGGGCTTCTATTGCAGTACCACCTACAAGTAGGAATGGGAATGAATAGGGAGGTGCCAAAGTCTCATAGTGGCATTTGCTCTGGCTTTTAAGCAGAAGATAATGAATAACCAGGCTCCAATATCTCTGGATGCCATAGCTGCCTTCTGAGAGACTTACCAGTGTCGTCCTACAATATGATATTAAAGTCATCATTTTCTGCTTTAGAGGTGGAATGCAAAATGATTCATAAGCCCTATACAAATCATAATGAAATTTAATTCTCTCAAGTGTATTTTCTTTGTGCTTACAAGCAGTAGCAGAGTTTTTCTCCCACATTCTCTGTTTCTTAAGTAAAGCTATAATTACCTGGATGACCCAGGTTGCAGAGTTCCAGAAAACAAAGGCAGACTTGGTCTGTCTTTTCTCCGTGTCTCAAAACAGAAATCATTTACTAGACTGACAGAGACAGTGATTGAACCCCACTTCTTTAGAAAACAACAGTTAACATTTTCTCCCTTGAAAAGAATGGTCTTTATCTCTTCTTGCCACTTACCATATAAAACCAACATAAATAAATAAGCAAACGAATTTCTGCTCTAAAGTTCATTTGAATCCCCACCTTTGTGACACTCACTTTCCACTGTTCTACTGAGTCAGTCTGAAGTTTCTGTCAGCTTGAGAAATATACATATAAATTAGGAGGTGAGGAAAATGAAAGAAATCATGGATTAAGGAAAAGAACTCACATATACTGACAAGAGAGGAAATAGTCAAAGCAGTACAGAAACCGGTTCACGATGAGAAAATATATTCTCACTTGTCTGCATTTTTATTTCATTCACTGAATGCCTTTGGAAGGTCAGTCATTAAAGAGAAAAAGGGAAGAAGTATGTTAATAGCTAGTGCTGATATGATGAAACTTAGATTTTGAACAGTGCAATTATGATTCTTTAGGAAACAGAGATTTAATACATAAATAAATAAAAATCAATAAATGCCATAATAAAAGGATAAATGTGCATTGAACCCAGAACATGAGCCACTAGAGAGCCAAGTGATGCAGGAAGAAGCCAGCTCTGTCCACCAGCTGTCACTTCAATATGGATTTTATTAATTCTTGGGCATAGCAATTGGTTTAGCGAGAGAGCGTCCAAAAGCCTTCTTCACTCTAATATTTCATACAGGGGGTGGGTTGAACTCCTTGCAATGTTTTACACAGGCTGCTGAAACCATGGCTTGTCATTAGCTGTAGAGAATGTAACAGCCTCCAGGCAGACTTTGTGCTCTTGCTGCTGAACGGCTGCGGGGAGCAAACGGGCATAAAACAGCTGGCACAGCATAAGGAGTTTGCCCCTTGTCATTCAGAAGAGATCCAGAAATACCAAAAAGACTGGCTCTTTGATGCTTCCTCAGGTACAGGATCTCTCAGAAGAAAATTCTTCAGAGGTCTCAAAGACATCCATTTTGACACACACGCCTTCTCTCACCATTAGTTATTTTGGCAATGCTCGCAGTGGGGACACCAGAGAACACAAGCACAATGTGCCCCTAAGCAAAATAAAGGAAAACTGGCCATT